TTCATAAAGTAGTGGGGAAAGGAAGAGTTTTGGACATCAGAATTGAAGGTCCTTCATCTGACTTCACAATGTGATATTACTTAAAAGCGTGCACTCTTTTCATAATTTAGCTCTGAGTAGTAAGATTTCAGTTGATGTTGCACACATTTTTCCAGCTATCGTTGCGATTTCTGCCAATTGAGCGAAGGAATTTACTAGAATACTGATCATTCACCCAGGGCCTTGTCATCGCACTTTCATTTTCTAAACGACGATGTCATCTTGGCCCGTATACTACAGTTGCGTACCAAGAATTAATTCAAATAAATGAAAAAGATGTTAAATTGATGCAGTTTAAAGAGTTTGCTATCATCAGTGGATTGGATGCTTCCTAGTAGAGCAAAATGAATTCATATCTAAAACTAATTGCGTTGATATTCGTGGTTCAAGCAGAGAAAGAACAGAACCATCATGTCCTATTTGCCATCCATTTGATCGTACTATTGAAATACCGATTTATTCGTGATACCCAACCTAACCTTAGGTGCTTAAAATGGTCAACCTCATGGTTGTAACTCCTACGTACCAAATCTGACATTTCAAACGTTTCATAATGCTAAAAAATTAGAGTGCAATAGGGTGAGCCCACTGTTGTAACATGCCAGTTGGAGACTACATGATCAGTCCTCAACATATTCATTGTCTGAAAGCACCATCTCAGTTTCACTACCTACTTTTCCGACACGATGAAAGCGTTTTATCAAATTTTCAATTGTCAGCAATTTCTTCTGCCAAATCAAGGCTCATTTGTTTGAGATTCATCAATATAAAACCGACGACGTGAATGGACAATCACATCGATTAATTAAGGTTTGTAGCTCTTATGTCCCAAGGGAGCCTTGAGTGCCAATGACTAATGAACACGATTATAAGAAACCAGGTAAACATCGTGCATTGAAGTTAGATGAGGAAGTACATGTAAGCGAGCTCGGCAATAGGGAGTGGGTTTCAGTTTAAAGGGTAGTACATTTCGTTCAATCATGCTTCGGCAAAATTTTGAATTTGCCTCATTTTAATCTACCAATAGACAGTCGTTTACTTAAAGTAGCCAATAATCTTGAAATTTTATAGTTCGACCTCCCTGGGGTCACCAAGCTGTGCAATAATAGACTGTAATTTTGTTGAAGTCATTGCCCCATTATCGATTCTAGCTGCACGTTGAACATGGAAGGTTGGTGAAAGTTTTCCAATTTTGTTTAATTTTAAGTTACATAATTTCTATTTTCATATATGCATATTTTTATATATAATGCTAGAATTACAGCAAAGTAAACGATCTATTATTGCTTTCAATATAGGACAAATATCTTCACTTAAAGATATGTGCTACGACTATATACTACAGAATTTTGAGTTATTAGTCGCTAAAATTCCAGAGGCAAATGGAGGGTCCAAGTACGTTTGGCGCTATTTTCCACCCAACAGGCGATTTCCAACCACTGTAGTAAATGAATTACTCGGGAGAATGAGATATCATAAACTATTTAAAACGGAAATGATGACACTTTTCTCAAAGGACTACGCGAATTTGAGCATTTTGGAACTTCGCAACTTCCAAATCACCTTCTTAAATGCCCATTTTCTGCAAGATTTCATTCCAAATGAATTAACTCTCAGTCATGTAAACGGAACCACTTTGGGTGTTCTCATCGCCAACTTAAACGATCATGCCTGCGGAGCAATCAAGAGTCTGGACATTTCGGGTGTCAATATATTCAAATTTCCCCCATTTTTTCCTGAGGTTGGTGAACTCGGATGGTTAAGCAACCTGAGTACTCTGAATATTAGTGATACCAGTCTGGATTCGTCAGCCCTAGCCATTGTGGTTGAAAAATGTCCAACCTTGAAACATCTCGACATTTCGGATAATCCAGTTGAGGATATAAGTTGTCTTCTCAATTTAAAAGACCAATTAGAAGGACTAGTCCTGCATTTCAACGTGATGCCGGAGGAAGCAATTTATTGGGAAGCCATATGGACTGTTCTGCGGTTGGAAAAATTGCAAAAATTAGATTTGTCGGCCTTTGAGAAAAATGGTAACTATCGCCTCTCGAATGTGGAAACTTTGCTCTCATCAGGAACTTTTCCTCACCTGAAACACTTTGATATTAGCGGTAATCCGCTTGGTCTCACCTCAGCTGAACTACAGTAAGTCCAGGAACTCTAAAATAACAAATTAATGAACACTTTATATTGCACACTGCAGGTTCGTAACCAGCGGTTATTAAAAGTTCTCATTTCTACTGCCTTAATTACTATGTGTTAGATTTCAAAGCTTATTGAGTTCGTCATTTATGAGTGCTGTTAATACACCCAAGCTCATAAAACAGCGTCATCTTGCACTAAATCAGTCTAAGTAGTACACGGTCAACTTCTGAATTGGATGTGTCAGCGGAATGTTTATGAAACTAAAAAGGTCAAATAAACACAATGAAGCAGTAGTTTATTGGCCTGACCTAAGCAATAAAATTTTACTAGATCTTGTGTTATCATTTCGGTCGATTCATTCACTTTATTGAGTATCGGTCAATATTTGTGTGCGATGAACTATAATTTAATTATTAACTTTATTAATGTTAATAGTTGTTTCTTAAAAGTCCTATCAGACTTTCGAAGTGGGCAGACCTAAGAATTCAAATGTCGACTATATTGTTTTACCAATTTTTTCATTAGCGAACATATTAGTATTGCAATTTATTAAAAGCTACTTGAAATCGCTCAATATTTAAAGAACTTGCATGATTAGGGTCATATTAGTTTGGAGAATTTTCGCGGCTTTGTCAATTTCAATAGAATGATTAGAGCGCACATCTTTGGTTGATCCCGTGATGCGACCGTGTGAGACACGATTATTTCTTTATATCAAATGTCAGGCGTTTTGATAGTTACCATTAGCCCTTTAGTTGAATTCAGGCTTCATAGAGGGAGAGAAACATCAAATTGAAAAAAGTCGAGAGGGGGGGGGGGTGAACAGAAGAGTGTTTTAAAGATGCAAAAGAGATAGACACAAAGGTAGATGAAAGGTGAGGTGAGTACTGTGGCAGTGGTCGAATATGACATACAGTGGGGCCATTTTAGTTTGAGGTCAGAGGTCAACTGCCGGTTTATAGACTTTTTTGCTGCATGAGTATACGTTGCCCAGGGTGCACCACGTGGAGGTAAGTCTTTCGCACACCCCGAGGCACGATTATAATAGTCAAGGTCTTAATCAATAGCTCGCTGCCCAGGAAGATTATGCACAAAATAAGAACTCGATTTATCCACATCCCTATTTCTCAAATTCTATCCAAAAATGTGCTGCAAAAACACTTAACTTGGAATTCTCTCTTCTTCAATTTCACAGGACATTTATTGCAAATCATCGGAATCTCAGATTTCTTGGGTTGGCTCATTGGCCTGAACGTCTAAAGGCTTATGATTTATCTCTTAAATACCCTAATATTACGGTAAGCATGTTTATTAATTATTATTGCAATTGCTATTCATATTATTTAACGTATTTCTGTTGATAAAAGTGGAATAGCTTGACTACGTAATAGAGTAAGCTTTATCCACCAATTTCATTTTATCAAATAATAGCACTTAATTTTAGATACACATAGAGAAACAACCTTTCATGTAGAGAATTAATAAAGCGAAAAAAATGAAATTATTTTGGCAATCATTTTGTTTGGGAGACCAGCACTTTGGTAATTTCAAAGTTTCTCCTCTTGATCGACCTGATCGACAAGTTTTAACACTAGCACTATAAGTCTTTAAAGCACCTTTTATCCTGAGTAGGGTACGATATTTGATTATTTAACTCCTTAAAATTTAGATTTGTCGTTGTCCAAACCCTTATTGCCATAGTATTTGAGATGGCACAAATAATTTTAATATTTCAGATTAGTTGTTTGCTCAATTTTTGTTATCAGAAATGTGTTAGTGAAAAGTAAACTATAACACCGTTAATAAGTTAGGTATTGCAAAGCAAAAAATTGGGTAAATTTTCATTGTGGGAAGGCAGCTGATACTGTTTAATTGGGTTAAAGGAAAGACAATTGAGAAATAAAATAAACTAAAATTATCACGAACATTGCAAAATGTGGACTTGAGAATTATATTGAACGATTCCAATTCCAGAATTTGTCCTCCTTAGAGACCTAAGTACTAATTTCACAAAATCTAAAGCCTGAAACAGTATGATTAAAAAAATGAGGAATTTCAATGCGACGTTATTCTGCTGAACAAATTCCACCTGCCTTAACATAAGCAAATGGTCAAAATTGGATTGGTATGCGACCGAGAAAGCAAGGACCCAGATGTGGGGTTTAATGGGATTACATGGTACAGTCCCCAGTGAATTTTTGAAAGAGGCGCCAATGTGAGGCATATCGGTGAGATCAAGTAAGGGAAAAACATTACTTAAATTTGGGGTTTCAGCCAAATAGGCATTTTCCGTTTTTTTTCTCCTATATGAATTCACCTCCACTTTTTGACTAATTAACTAACATTGTCAGTAGGTTTAGTTGAAGATGTAATTGGATTTTACTTAAGGAGTGCGCTTACAATTGCCCATTACTATTGTCTATTGACAGATGACCATAATTAAGATTTACCCAAATGGACTCCTCCCTCCTTCTATTATTGATATTGTCAGTTTAGCATTTTAGTTACTATAAGTAAGGTGCTTAAACTTACACCTTTATTTACTGTTGTGTTCAAGCCCTTAAGTGTATTTTGTATGGTTTTAATTACTGGGAGGGGCATATGCCTTGTAGATGTCTGGCGATGTCGGCGAAAGTATGCTAATAGAGGCCATAAGACAGTACTGGAGGAATCGTCGATCATTCGATGCGACATTGCACAATATCTATATACAGGCGGAAAGTGGACATAAATTCAGCGCCGATATTTTGGACGTAAGTCAACCAGTCAACAATTTACCACCGACCGACCTGCGTCCAAAAAATAAAACACATTTTTTTGCAAATTTATTTAGGCCATTCTTGATGCCGCTGAGGAAATTCGAATCACCGAACCTTGTACTATCCTTTATATGGCGACTATGTATGTTGTGTTGAATAATCTAAACCCAGACGAATTATCGAAAAATCTACTTACTCGATTAATGAAATTTAATCTGGATGCAATGTTTCAAAACCGAGAAAGTTATTTATTTATGAACATCTTAATGAATAAGTTCAAGGCGGTAAGTTATTTTTGATATTATTTATTTATTTATTTATTATTTTCTTGCCCATCCAAAAGGCAAACTTGGAATTAAGTTTTCGAGAAGTGGTGTTAACATAATGTCTGATCTAGAATCAAGTGTCTTACAATGGGCGATTTTACAAGTATCTAAGATGACTTAAAGAAATATTTGATTTTTATCTTGATTGGCTGTTGCTGCATCAACACTCATGACACGTTTTGTCCACCTCTTGGTGAAGAGCTTTTCTAGGAAATCAATTGCCCAATTTAAAACTGGAGGTGATACTGTGCTCGATGGTGAAGTGGGCTGGGATAAGCAGTAATAGTGATGATTGGGGTTAGTTCAGTGGAAGACGTGCTCATCAATGAAATATCACTAGGTTTGGAGGTATTTCTAAACAAAAGTTTATGATTTTATTAAAAGCTAAGGTTTGATAGCTATACACAAATCAGAAGTTCCCAAGTTGGCTTTGTTCACCATTCATTGGTGATCAAAAGGAGCAGAGTAAAAAGATTAGGGGAAAACGTGAAAGAGAAGCGTACTCAAGCAAAGTACAATTAGACAAGGGGAGCGGGTTTACTTTCTTTGCCAGTCATTTTGAAGCAGTATGAATGTGTGAGACAGCGCGTGCGTACTGTAAGAATTGCCTATACTGGCCAATCAAAGCCATTTCCAGAGCGAAATGATTAAGCGACGTCATTGTGTGCAGAAAGGTGGATTGGACTGGGTAATTGTGGTTGACATGCGGCTAATGAAAATCAATTATCAAAAATTTTGATGAGTTTAGAAAATATTTATTTATTTTATCAAATGGCAGGCGTTTTGACAGTTAGCACTAGCCCTAAGCTGACTTCGGGCTTTACAGGGGGGGGGGG